GTCAGCGCTCGTCGATGCACATGCATCTCTCATCACGCCGTGAATCTTCAGCTTCTGACTCCGAATCAAAGCCAGGGGACAAAGTCCCTGACAGGTTTCGCCCAGATCCCGCCCTTCGGAGCACTACACATCTCTTCCTTCCTCCTGTAGTCTGTCCAGGAGTGCCAGCATACACTGCCCGGGACCGCGATATGCCATAAGCATTTCAGGGCTTCCTCAAGGTGGTCCCCACCTGCGCCCACGCGCCTCTTATCCCCCACCGCCTTCACCCCAATCCTAGGTTTTGGCCCCGCGCAGCACTGATCGCAGCTGCACGAACACGATCCCCAACAGCCCAGCCACACGCTCTGGTGAAAGGAATTCAGAGGCGCTATCACCAACGCTAACGCTCGAGAGCGCTGGCACTCTATTTGGAGTTTTTTGTCATGAGTTTTGTATCACGTGAAATATACATCTATGATCTATAAATTTTCAAGGCATTTGATTAAGCCCAAAAAAAATAAAAAATTGCCAAAGATGTATTATTTGTTTTCCGTATTTTATTTTCATTTAAAATTTGGTAAAGAATTTGGATGTGGCGCTGAGGCAAATATTGCTCAGTTCATTTTTCTGCAAAGCATTTTTTTTTTCAGATTTTTGGGATTTGGAATTTTGGATTTTTTAAATTTTTTTATTTCTTTTGATCCTCGTTCGGCCTGAATGGCCGAACACGTTTACAGGGGGGCCCGAACGTATGGGCGCTCGGATTCGGCCATTCGGCCCCAGCCGAATGCCAGCTATCATGCCGTCAACAAATATGATTGAAATTAAATATATATGTTATATATATACCAGACAACTCTGTTTGACGAGATACATAAATATATATATGATATATATATATATATATATATATATATATACGCAGGGTAACCGGCGCTCGGCACAGGCCGAACGCCCGAACCCGAACCCGAACGCCAGAAAAAAGTCATCAAAAAAATCTGAAAAAAAGATATAGAAAAATAAATTAAACAAGATTTGTCTGAGAATTACGTTCGAATTCCTTACCAAATTTGAAATAAAAATAAAATAGACAGAACAAATACTAATAATAAAAATAAATAAAAATAAAAAGAGAATTAAATTTAGTGAGTGCGGGAGCATGTTTTTGACACCGCCATCTTTGGCGATTTTTCATTTTTTTTTTGCATAGCTAAATGCCCTGAAAATTTACAGATGTGTACTTCACATAATACAAAACCCACTAAAAAAGTTAAAAAAAATAATAAAATTGTTTAGACCCCGAACTAAAGTGAAAACAAAAAGTAAAAAGTGAAAAAAAACGTGGGCGAGCACGTTTTGACACCACCAGTATTTGGCGATTTTTAATTCTTATTTGGCTAAGCCAAATGACTGAAAGTTTATAGGCATGTACCTCACGTCATAGAGAACTCCTAAAAAAAAGTTCAGAAGAAAAACATTATTTTTCGGCCCCGAAATAATTTTGGGCGGGGGCCGAACGCCGTCCGGTTCGGACCCCGTACGGAACCCCGAACGCCCGAACGTACGGAGGTCCGCCCGGGGGCCTCTGTACGTACGGGCTGGTAACCCTGTATATACATATATTCAGCCTCCTGATGAGTCGGTGAAACTCTGACGAAGCAGTTTGTCACAGCCCCTCGTTTGTTGTCCTCTTCTCTCTCTCTGCCTACGGTTTTACCGGGCAGTTCTGTTTGTGACGATATATATGTATATATATGTATGGATCATCCCGTACTTACGGAGGTCCCTTGGCCGACCTCCGTATATACGAGTGTTCGGGGTCCCGTTCGGAGTCTGAACCTGACGGCGTTCGGCCCCGGCCAAACATTATTTGAGGGCCTAAAAGAATTTTTTTTTTCCTGATTTTCTTTTGTGAGTTCTCTATGATGTGAGGAACATGCCTATAAATTTTTAAGTCATTTTGCTAAGCCAAACAAAAATTAAAAATCGCCAAAGATGGCGGTATCAAAACATGCTCGCCCACTCACTATTTTGTTTTTTTTTTATTTTTTACTTTTTGTTTTCATTTTATTTCGGGGTCTAAAAAAAATTATTATTTTTTGAAACTTTTTAAGTGAGTTTTGTATTATGTGAAGTACATATCTGTAAATTTTCAGGGGATTTGGCTGCGCCAAACAAAAATGAAAAATCGCCAAATCGGGCATCGTCGAAAATGTGCTCACTCACTCACTAATTTTAATTCTTTTTTTAATTTTTCTTTTTTTTTATTAGTTTTGTTTTCTATATGTTATTTTTATTTCAAATTTGGTAAGGAATTTGGATGTAACGCTCAGGCAAATGTTGTTTATTGTATTCTTCTTCATAACATATATTGTTTTCAGAGTTTCTTGAATTGTTTTTTTTTGCTTGTTTTTGGTCCGCGTTCGGCCCGAACGGCCGAATACCTCCCCAAGGGGTCCCGCACGTTTGGGCGTTCGGCCCGTCCCGAACGCCGGTTACCCTGTATGTGTATATATATATATATACATATATATATATATATGTATATAAACAGAGCTGCCCGGTAAACCGTAGGCACGGAGGGAGATTATTGTCTTCTCTTCTTTCACTCCTCGCGTTCTTTTCTTCTGCTCCTCTTCTTCTTCGACTTCTTTCACTCCTCTTCTTATGTTCTCCCCCTCATCCTTTTCTTCGTCTTCTCCCTTTTTTTTAATATCCCGTGCAGGTGGACCTACACACTTGGAGAGAGAGAGAGAGAGAGAGAGAGAGAGAGAGAGAGAGAGAGAGAGAGAAAGAGAGAGAGAGAAAGAGAGAGAGAGAGAGAGACAGAGAGACCCCACCCACAAACCCAACCCACCTGAATGCCAACACCACGCCCCCGCCCTCCTCCCCCAAACCCAGCTCGCTCTGGGACACCCCCCCAAAAAAATTGCACCCTCAAAAGTCTTTTTTCCGACTGCGATAAAAAAGTATAATAAAAAAAATCGGGCATTTTTTTTCATAACTGCTTTCCCGGTTCATCCCCTCTGGCTGGGCCCGGTTGGACCAGGCGAGCTGAACCGGCCAGTCGCTGAGCCAGCCCCTATATGACTGCAGTTCCGGTCAGACCTCACCTGGATGATTCTGACTGCAATCACGCCCAAAGCTCAAGAAAGAAAACTCGTCGTGTGAGTCTGCACTGAGTTTGTTAACCGTACAAGGGTTTACGCGAGCATGCAAGTCATGTAAGGTTGGTATGGCGGATGAGATAGGGCAGGTGTCGATCTTTGTCATGCGCGTGGCAAGGAAGATTGCGTTGGCAAAAAAAAGAAAAAAGAGAAAAAGGAAAAAGGTATGCAACTTCATGATACAAGAGACTTGGATTAATTGACTGGGTGTCGTAAATAGAGTGTGGGCCATTGGTGGTTTGAACTCTTTCTTTTTTGTTGTGTTTATTTCAAATTTATCCTTGTTTCCGCTCTATTGAGTCTATTCGACATACCATTTAATCGTTCTTTTTATTTGAACAATATGATCCAAGTGGACCACGAGTCAGATATATTGAGCTGGTCCATTGGACCATAGGGGCTCGTTAAACACTCCTCGGGCACGTAAATCCCCTTAGGAATTGATCGTTCCACTTATCCTTGGGGAAGAAATTGAAAAACAAAAGTGAAAACATTTCCTGGGGAATTGCTTGGGGATTCCTCGGGCTACAACTATTTCAACACGCTTCCCAAGGGACCTTCCGACGTCCCTCGGAGGTCGAGCATCCGGAAGAATTGGGGTGTCGACAACAGCCCTCTCGACGATAATTCTCGAACTCAACTGGTCCATTTCTGTTCCTGGCGGCCTGTCGACGGACATCTTCGGTTGGCAACGTTCGGCGTCATGGAATTGTCCGCCAACGGTCGCTGTTGGCGGCCTGCCGGCCTCCAAAACGTCGAGAAGGGGCTGTATCGCGTCGGCGCCCTTGGCCCCGAGCGGGAAGACGCCCAACAATCGGCATATTTGAATACTTCAGTCGACCCCCGCTCTCCCGATTGCTTAGTGTCTTCCGCGACGGGATATTACCCTTCGTTTGTCAATATCTGCGATCGACCGTTTGGAGCACCGTTCGTCGCCCTTTCGTGGGTGTCCACTACTGTCTTCTAGCTGCTGTCGTCGTCCACATGCCTTTCATGACCGACGTCTTTCGGAGGCTGCCGCTGCTGGTGCTGGTTGTCCTCTTGCTCCTCGTTTTAGTTGTATTCCAGGTGTGCATCGTCGGTAGCGTTCCTCGACGTGCACGCAGAAGGCGACAATCGTTGAAGGACGTCAGGATGGAGGGGCGTCAGGCGATGTGCAGGTCTGAGGGGGAACAGGGCGGTGGCCAGCGGGTTGGGCAAACCCCGTCGAGGAGTTCAAGGCCGTCGGAGCGGTTTGGGTATGCGCACTTACCGCCGCACTTGCAACCTCTGCCTGATATGTCTGACGAGGAGGCGGATGACACAGGGTCGCGGACCGTGCCGTTGGGAAGTGGGTCCATCTAGGAGTGGGCGGCTACAGAGTTATGCGGGAGCCGCGACAACGCGTATCGGCAGTCGTACTCCGAACCCCTCCAGTAGGGGCTCAGCGGAGACGAAGGCGATGGCGGCGTTAATCTGTCATTCGGGCTCTGTAGTGAGAGGTCGTCGGCCACCTCGTGAATGGTCGTCGTGTGTCCCCACCCCCACGACGACGGCAGGCAAGTGACGGTTGTTGTGCGATCATCGAAGTCTCCAGTGTCGGTTTGGGAGGCGTCGGGGAACAACAGGGATCCTCCCAAGCAGCAATTCCGATCGCCGTCTGTGTCGAGGGGTGTCTCCGCTCGCCCCCAGTAGATGCAGTCTCCGTCTCCCCTGTCCGTCGTTTCGACTGTGGCCCGTCGTCGTGGGAGAAGGATGCTGGCATCGCCGATATTGGTGACGAATGTGACGGGAGGGAGGTGTGGGCAGAACACCGGCGAGAGCTCCGGTCGGGGTACGAGGAATCTATAACTCGGGGGGTGCAGCGACTGCGTGTGGGGGAGCACGAAAAGGAAAAGGAGGCACCGGTTCTGGACACGGACGATCACGACGACGACGACAACAACTGATAGGGTGGGGAGAAAGACGAAAGTTTCGTTTCGTAGCTGAGGCAAGACAACATGGGAGGCAGGGGCGGGAAGACGAAGTCGTCTGTCCGCAATGGCCGTCGGGGCAAAAACGCGGCGGGGAAGGGGAACGATGCCGACGGGGATGGTGACGTGGAAGGAGGTCGACACTTCTGGTCCGTCGACCACATTGGTGCCCTCATCAGGTCTAAATGTAACCAAGATGCGCACATGCAGGGGATGGGTCACACCTACGCTCGGATGAAGCCGCGAGAATGGAAGTGGTTAGATATGGCGCAAAGGATGAAGAAGGTGGGCGTCGACAGAGACGCAGATAAGTGCGGGAAGAAGTGGGACAATTTGATGCAACAGTTCAAGAAGGTGCATCACTTCAATGGCTTGTATGGGAAACAGGATTTCTTCCAATTGCCGACGAAGGAGAGGACGTCCAAGGGCTTCAATTTCAACATGGATCGTGAGGTTTACGACGAGATACTGGGGTCCACGGGCACGAACCACACCATACACCCGAAGAATGTCGCCGACACAGGTGCTTCGATTGGTGTGCGTCTGCCGTCCACCTCTTCTGCGGAACTTGAATCTGTGGGCGATGGGGACGCTGGTGCAGGGCAGGACGACGACCATGATGGGTCGACGAAAAGTTCTTCTCAAACGACAGGTAGCCCAAGCGGTTTCGCGAAGAGGAAGAGCATGAGGCAACACATTTTTGAAGCGATGACAGCATGCATGGAGAAGCACAGGGCGTTAATGGCGTCGATGATGGAGAGCGTCAACAAGCGCCAGTGCTCCATCCAAATCCGATAGTGTGAGGAATTAGAAACGGAGGTCGAAGTGCAGAAAAAACACTACGAAGCGTCGGACGAATTCAGCAAACTGATGTGTCATGCTCTGTTGAAGATAGCGAAGGCCATTCGTGAGCGTTAGAGTTGGTGCCGCCTCGGGCGCATTGTGGTTACCATGGATGTGGATGGCGCGAAAGTGTGAGCCTTTTCATCATCGTTGTAGCCGTGTGTGGGCCATCGTCGACGCGCCGTGTCTCGATTGGATGTCGTGGCAACGAAAGTGGGTAGTGATCCGATCGGGTCGATGAGTCGTCGTATGCACATTGACATTTTCTGCCGTAGACGGTTCTCGGTTGGTGGGACGGATAATTCCGTCATTATACAATTTAAATTGGCGCCGTTTAAGTGCGCAATGCACTTCCTTTTTTTTAATGACACTATGAATTTTCTCTTCCTCTCTCTCTCTCTCTCTCTCTCTCTCTCTCTCTCTCTCTCTCTCTCTCTCTCTCTCTCTCTC